TATATATATATATATATATATATATCCTTCAAGCCCACAGACTTGTGAATTATTACTATTTGTTATTTTAAATGTCAGTTGTATCAGAAACCTCGTTCTGACCTAAGTTCTACTACCCTGCTGCTGTGCAAACAAGGCAGAGTTAGTTATACTACAGCTCTTTAGGATACTGTTGTAAGCTAAGTTGTTGCTTTTCTATCTGACAGTATGGTTAGATTACTTCAAACACATTATCTTTTCAGGGATCCATCTAATCTTTGGGATATTTTTACATGCTATTCCTCCTAGGCTCAATGATCTTTATCATATTTATCTCAATCCTTGGCTATATGAAATATTATTAGCAATGCTTTGCTCATCAGCTAAACCAGTGACTGTTTTCATGCTCTTCAAACGCAAAACAAAATCTTAACTTAGGCCTCTTCCTGCAGTAAGAAAGGTGTGTCAGGTCAGTCCCACTGGGTCATGTTACACGTGGCAATTACTGTGCCACTGTAATTGGATCATTTTCAGCATATGCCCATTTCCTCAAAGCAACAGGTGGGGCCTGTCCCTGAACTCTTCATTGATCCTGATGTTTCAACAGCCTTGGCTAGGTAAGATAAAGAACCTGGACCATTTTACCTTTTAAAAGGTTAAGACTTTAATGAGTATTTCCTTTTCTTTTGTCTTCCCCCTCAATGTAAGAGCAACATATTTTAATGCAACCTAAACTCCTTGTCAAATAATTTAACCCAGATCAGTAACAGCCTCCTCTAAACTGATTCTGTCATCCTGTGCAAGACTTAACTGCATTAATTTAAATTCATGTCAAGTTAAACAAAGGAACCTTTCTTGTACACAGGACTCCAACACACCCATTTCATGGTAGGGTTCTGCACTTTATGCTGTTCTTTTATTGCTGCCCACATGCCAGACACACTAGCAGCCCAATATCCCCGTTGTCAAAAGATTTTCCATGAATTTATTACAAAATATAATATTTGATTGTTCATATATGGTCTGATATTCATCCCAATGTATATATAGCAAATAGGGTTGAAAAACACAGGTTTTCCAACAAGTTTTTACATTTCCATTTAATATGAGAACAGTTTCCCATTATATAGTAAGAATATGAAGTACAGAAAATAAATAAATTAATATAATGACCTGGGAAAGAGAAATCTTAGTGTGTGAGTTGTTATCTGTATCTAGTGGAAATATCACATATACCTTATTAAGCTGAACACAGTTCTGTAATACATGACATAATTTTCCCATTTCCTGGAAGAGTCATGAAAATCATTTACAAACAACTAACTCGTATTTTCTCCAGAGTAAATCACATGCATTATATGTAGAAACTGGAGTAAGGAGGGATTATATAGCAGTGCCATTAAAAGACAAAAAAAAGCACTGCTCTTACAGTTGCATCTGAGTAGTCATACACCTGAGAAAGACCAAGAACAGTTTCTCCAAAAAGTCTGATTAAAATTCACTAGTAAAATCAGACAGAACAATATTAGCTTTTGAAGAGTCTGACAGTACAGTAAAGCCATTGAAAATATCCCTGTTTTATCAATTACATTCCAACAAAAATCATAATCTGAATTACAAGTATACTGCATACCTGCATAAGCATCAAGGAAATACAAAGTCAAAGCTTATCCATCAAGTCCCTCTGATAAATGGTCCCCTATAAAAATGCAAATTTTAATGTACATTTAAGTACTTTCGGCAAGAGGTGCAGATTCCATAACAGAAAAGTCACTGCAAAGTCTGAAAAAAATTCTAAAACTTGAAAAAAAATCAAAAAGCATAGTTTGATACATAATAAATTTTGCTAACAAATTCTGGGTTTAGAAATAGTGAAATTCACTCCAGTTCCTGAGATAAACTGCAGATCAGTTGTGAGGATTTGGCAGACTGTACCACACTCTTTTCCTCACCTTTCCTTACACACTGCACACAAGGTCAGAACTGAAGCTTCTGCTAAACTTACAGGTCAGCAAAGCATGTGAAAATTCAAAACATTCAAATTTTCTTTTTCACTACAAAAACAAGAGACTGGCAACTTAAGTCAGAGACAGACAGACTTTTGCCACAGTCTGTCAAAGTAATTTCCAGACATAGGCAGTTGTTTTAAATTAACTGCACTTGCATCTTTGAAATTAATATAATTGTCTCTATCCTGTTTTCACTGACAACTGTGCTCCTACTCATCCAGCTGCAGTTTAAAACAACATACCATACATGAGTTCAAACTCCTAGGGTCAACTTTTTTAAACGAGCGTGTGCCACCTAACAGCTCAGCAGGTCTCTGTGTGCTGGAACCATCAATGTGCTTCATTGCTACCAGCTATATGGTCAGTTCCTAACTTAGCATTAATCGCGTGCTCCATCTTCTGTAAAACTGCTGGAAGATCCAGAACAGAAGAAATAATATAATGAGGTACTGGGGAGGTATCTACTGGGGTAGTCATTGCTTTGTTTAACCAGACCGTTGCTTTCAAGCCAGCATTCAGGCCTCCTTGGATATCTGTATCTAGAGAGTCACCAACCATAACACACTCCGCGGGCTGCACCCCCAGCAGATCGCAGCAGTAATGAAATATGGATGGAGCCGGTTTTTCTTCCTTCTGCTCTCCCCCCACCACGATGGCATCGAAGTAGGGCTGGCAGGCGCACGCCTCGATCTTCTCCCTCTGCGTCTGCCTGTCGCCGTTGGTCAGGAGCAGCAGCCGCACTCCTTTCCGCAGCTCGGTGAGCATGGCCCGCGTGTCCTCGGCCAGCGTCAGGTGCTGCAGGCGGGTGCTTTTCCACAGGTAGTAGCACTCGGCCGCCAGGTCTCGGTTCGCCTCGCCGCCGATGGTCTCCTGGATCGCCTCCTCCCAGTGCGAAATCCGCAGGTCCGTGATGCACATCTTGGCGGGATCGTGGCACTCCTTGAGAAGCTTGGCCTGGACCTTATCGCACACAGCGCGCGCCTCTTCCTCCCCGTAGCGGTGCTTGGACTGCAGGGCGCTTATCACCTGCAAGGGACGAGGGGCACACGCATCAGCAGCTCC